CAGCTGTCCACGGTTTCTAGTTGAGCTGGCTCATTTTTTACGCGACTTGAAGTTGTGAAAGGTTCATTGGCCCTCTTCTTCAGTCGTTTCATACAAGGCTCGTAATTTACCTATTACGCATGTTCTTAATCTGATTAGTTGATTGGTTGACTGGTTGTTGGCTGGTTGATTGGTTGGCGTAGGAGCTGGTTGCAATTGGTTAGTGAGTTGGTTTGCTGTGTCTCAAACGATAACTTTGCGCAAATCTGAATTTCTTCCAGACACGATTATTTTTGACCCATCCAAGTATTGGAAACATTAAGTTGCATTTGGTCGTCATTGGCATAACCATCAAACAAACGGTCAGTATTTTACAGTTCAGAATACAATATAAAATAATCTTGCTAACATTTAAATGATTAAACCTTTCTGCTCCTGACTACCTTCAAGATCTTATCCAGCAATACATACCACTTAAGTCTGGCTCAATGAATTTAGTAACTAGAGAACTTTACAACCTCAAATGCTATGGTTTCAAGACATTCTCAAACGCAGCGCCCAGCAATACATACGAATAAATGGCAATTGATGGTTTTCACGTCGGCCATGTTGGAGGAATTTAACAAAGTGATTATCAATGAATTCTTTTGTTATATCCTCCAAAATGGCCGCCGTGTCTCTTGTTATTTAATTCTCTTGGGAATGGTTGAAAACCATCAATTGAGTTGTAGAAAATGGGCGAAGTACATCACATTAAACCAAAATCTCATTTTTTGAGACTAAATCCTCTTAGTTCACGAATGAAATAAACACTTTTGAAATGGACACTGTGAAAGGTATCAAAAAAAATAGTCTTCTACATCAAAGTCTTAAGAAAATTTGTCCAATTAAGCACATTAAATTCCACTTTTGTTTAATTTGTTGCATTCCAGTTTGCCTACACTAAAAGTGCCACAAGAATACAACGGATGGATGGACTGGGTAAATACTTGGACACCGGTGTTTTTCCAAAAGAAGATAGTGACCCAGCACATCCTGATTTAGCGCTGCTGATGACCAGGTAAAATATATATAGAATAGTAATGTTTGTGAACAGAGCATTATTTTTTTAGCGGACCGCACTGAAACAACCTGTGGGCTTATCTGGGTGAGAATACAACTAAAGATCAGACCGAAATGGAGTTTAGCCTGGGAAAAAAATCAATGTGTGTAACAGATCCTTACTTTTACTGAACCGCATTGAAATAACTTGTGAGCTTATCTGGGTCAGTACGACTAAGAATCAGATCGAATTAGTTGGAACAATTGATGGTTTTCACAGCCGCCATGTTGGATGAATTTAACAAAAGATCCATCATCAATCTCTTTTATTATATCATCCAACATGGCCGCCGTGTGTTTTGTTATTTCACTCTCTTGCGAATGATTGCAAACCAGCAATAACGCGGTGATAACTGAAAGAAAAATCGATCAGCCTAACAGATGTTCAGCTAATATTCAACGTCAGAATTTAAGTAAAGTAACAGAATAAATATAACAAAATAAAAGGTGTAATATTTTTATATGATTTGAGTAATGCATCTTGGAGATATCAAGGTTTATACTTCCA